TGTGACTAGTGGCATTCCTCAGGGATCAGTGTTGGGGGGACCTTTGATATTAGTAATATATATAAATGATTTGGAGGAAAATGTAACTGGTTTGATTAGTAAGTTTGCAGATGACACAAAGGTTGGTGGAATTGTGGATAGCGATGAGGACCGTCAGAGGATACAGCAGGATATTGATCAGTTAGTAATTTGTGCAGAGAGATGGCAGATGGAGTTTTAATCCAGAAAAATGTGAGGTAATGCATTTTGGAAGGTCTAATCCAGATGGAAAATATACAGTGAATGGCAGAATCCTTAAGAGTACTGATAGGCAGAGGGATCTGGGTGTACAGGTACACAGGTCACTGAAACTGACCACGTTGGTGGACAAGGTAGTCAACAAGGCATACGGCATGCTTGTCTTCATTGGCTGTGGCATTGAGTTTAAAAATTGGCGGGTAATGTTGCAACTTTATAGAACCTTAGTTAGGCCGCATTGTGTTCAATTCTGGTCACCACACTACCAGAAGGATGTGGTGGCTTTGGAGAGGGTACAGAAAAGATTTACCAGGTTGTTGCCTGGTATGGAGGGCATTAGCTATGAGGAAAGGTTGTAGAAACTTGGGTTGTCCTCACTCAAACAACGGAGGTTGACGTTGATAGAGGTCTACAAGATTATGAAGGGCGTGGACAGTCAGAAGCTTTTTCCCATAGTGGAAGAATCAGTTACAAGGGGGCACAGGTTTAAGGTGCGAGGAGCAAGGTTTAAAGGTGATGTACAAGGCAAGTTTTTCTTACACAGAGGGTGGTGGGTGCCTGGAACTCACTGCCAGGGGAGGTAGTGGAAGCAGATACGATAGTGATATTTAAAGGGCGTTTTGGTTAATAGGATGGGAATAGAGGCATACGGTCCCCAGAAGAGTAAGGGGTTTCAGTTGTAACAGGCAGCACATGGGTGCCGGCTTGGAGGGCTGAAGGGCCTGTTCCTGCGCAAGTTTCTTTCTTCTTTGTATTTCAACTTTTCCTTCACTATCGAGGGTGATCTCATTTTTATGAACATATACTTTGTTATCTTATAACCATGTTCTCTGAGTAAAGTTCAAGTCATTAAGATTTGAGATAAAGCTGTCACGGGAGGTGGAATAAGAAACGTGAATGGGTTTTGAAAAGGATGAAACAGACCTTTTTTAACAAGTAGTTTTCAGGGTTATTGTACCATAAGAATTTTGTGGAAAAGTGGGTTGGCTGGATAGGCAGGACGTGTTCTCCTGCCTGACAAGTCAAAATAAGTTCTAATTGCCCAGAGGCCAAGTTGTCATTAAGGACCATTGTCCAACACTGATACTTTTGTTTTTATATCATTTGTTTCACCTTGCTAACTCTTGTCACTTTGTGTGTATGTGTTTTGTATAACCATCTACTATATTTGTATACAGGACTTTGTACCTATGTGCTACAGGTGTTCAACCAATAATCCACTGCTCAATAACCAGGGAAATGTATGCATTAACTGTCGACAGCCATTTGTATTCTCTGCTTCCTCTTATGGTGAGTTTACTCTCTGCTGATGGTAGCATAATTTGCTTGCATTTATTACTCTGAAGTCTTGTTGTAGTTAGTTTGTATATTTTTTTCTTTTACTGTGGACCGTTTAAAATTAAACACAGCTTCACCTAGATGTAAGCCTCATCAGTAAGTGGTAAGATTCACTGAAAGAAGAAATGGCTGGAGTTTGCACACATAGAAATGTGAAATGGTAGCAAAACTGACCAATAGCTTCAAGGAAGATAATACAGCCCCACAGAGCTGCTAACTGAAAAACAGCCTTGAATGTTGATAGAAGCTTGTCTGATTACTGATCACCAAAGATTGTTGGAACAGTGTTCCTCCTTGAAACAAAGGCAAAGGAGGAAAGTGCAGTAATAATTCTACAGTATTGGCAGAATACATGAACAACATTTGAAAAGAAGCAGAGCACATAGAGAGGAGGAGGTCTGAGGATTGCAAGCATTTGTAAATGGATGACATATCAGCATGTGACACTGTTAGGCACAAAGAAAAGGTACAGTAGCCATATTTGAGAAATAGTGTATGAAACTAGTTAAAGAGGTAAGGAATACACAGGCAGTTGGGAAGCATGAAAAATGGCAGAAAGAGGCTGCAGTGGTTATTGATGATTCTAACTGGAACCTCTCTTTAGAAACACTTCTGCCAAGTAAGTCTACAGCCCTCGTTGATCTGCTTTCTTCTACAAACTGATTCTATTTTGCTCTCATGCTGAAGTTGAGAATTAACCACCCTCCATCCACACCGCCAAAAAGAAAGCAATACATCAACTGTAACATAGTTTAATATGTGGCAGGCTACTGACACTTCAAAACAAAAATTCTGAAACATTTAAGTACAGTTCTGTGGACTTTGGAAGATGTTGAGCCCTAAATATTTCACAGGAACATCCAAAACAGGATCAGAAGGAGGCAAAAAAGCAGAAATTGCTGGAAAAGCTCAGCAGGTCTGGCAGCATCTGTGGGGAGAAGTCAGAGTTAACGTTTCGGGTCAAGTGACCCTTCTTCAGAACTCAGTTAACTCTGATTTCTCTCTACAGATGTTGCCAGACGTGCTGAGCTTTTCCAGCAACTTTTGTTTTTGTTTCTGATTTACAGCATCTGCAATTTTTTCGATTTTTATTCAGAAGTGGGCCATTTGGCCCCTCAAGCTTTTTCCTCCATTCAGTAATATCATGGCTGATCTCTTTTTCTGTTTAGAATTCCACATTGCCATCTATCCCTAATAACCTGTGATTCTCCTGCCTACCAAGAATCTATCCACCTCTTCTAAAAACTATCAAATGACTCTACCACCACTACCTTCAGAGGTAGAGAGTTTAAAGTTGCACAACTCTCTGTGAGAATAAAAAAATCCCTTATCTCTGGACTGAAAGGGTGACCTCTAATTTTAAAACAGTATCTCCTAGATATGGATTGACCCACAAGAGGAAATACCTTTTCAATATCCATATTGTGAAGCCCTTTCAGGATCTTGCACACTTCCAACAAGTCACACTTGATCTTCTAAACTCCAGTGGAAACAAGCCCAGCCTATCCAACATATCTTCATAAGATAAACTAATCATCCATGTATTAATGTCGTAAACCTCCTCCAAGCTGCCTCGAATGAAGATACATCCTTTCTTAAACAAGGTGACCAAAACTGTAGTTTCTGGCCATGCATACTTGCTGCACAAGTTGCAGTGCATCAAGCATGCTGTGTTCAAGTGTTCAGCGAAAACCTAGACAAGTACGCCACCACCATCACGGACTTCATTACCAAATGTGTTGGGGACTGTGTATCAAAGAAGTCAATCCGAGTTTTCCACAACTGTAAACCTTGGATGAACCAAGAAATCCACTCCCTACTGAAGACCAGGCGTGCAGCGTTCAAGTCGGGTGACCCAGACCAATACAGAAAATCCAGATATGACCTCCGCCTAGCCATTAGGGAGGCCAAGAGGCAGTATCGGACCAAGTTAGAGGCCCAGACCTAGCAAACAGTCTCCCGTCATCTATGGCAAGGCCTAAACGACATTACGGGATACAGAATGAAACAGTGTAAGATAGCAGACAAAGACACATCCTTTCCTGACATGCTCAATGCTTTCTATGGTCGGTTTGAGCAGAATACCATCGGCGTGGCGACGCCTGTCCCGACAGCCCCAGAGACACTTGTTCCCTCTGTCACTGCTTCAGAAATCAGGTCAGTCTCCCTGGGAGTCAACTCAAGGAAAGCGACACGCACAGTGGTGTCCCCGGCTGAGCACTCAGATCCTGTGCGGACCAACTGGTGGAGGTATTCACTGACATCTTCAACCTCTCCCATCCTACAACCCGAAGTCCCCACCTGCTTCAAGAAGACCACCATCATCCCCGTACCCAACAAAACACGAGCACTGTGCCTTAATGTCTACCACCCAATGGCTCTAACTTCAATAATCAAGAAGTGCTTCAAGAGGCTGGTCATGGCCCACATCAACTCTAGTCTCCCAACCTGCCTCAATCCCATACAATTTGCTTACTGCCATAACAGGTCCATCTACATCAACAGAACTGAGGTTGAGAGAGTGAAGAACATCAAGCTCCTTGAAGGGATGATAACCAATGACCTGTCCTGGACTTCCCATGTAAATGCAACAATCAAGAAGGCACAACAATGCCTCTTCTTCGTCAGGCAGCTCAGGAAATTTGGCATGTCCACAAGGTCCCTCACCAATTTTTATAGATGCACTATTGAAAATATCCTGTCCTGGTGCATAACGGCCTGGCATGGCAACTGCTCTGCCCAGGACTACAAGAAACTACAGAAGGTGGTGTGCACAGCCCAGACCATCACAGAAGCCAACCTTCCATCCATGGACTCTATTTACATGGCTCGCTGCTGCAGAAAGATGGCCAACATCATCAAAGACCCATCGCACCCAGGTAATGACCTCCTACCGCGTCTTCCATCAGGCAGAAGATACAGAAGCTTGAACACGTGCACGAGCAGGTCCAGGAACAGCTTCTTTCTGGCTGTTATCAGACTGTTGATTGGACTCTGGCCTCAAATATTATGTAACCTACAATGTAACCTGTTTGCCTCTAAGTCTTTTTGATCTATACATGCTTTGCTTGCTGTGATCTGCCTGTACCACTTATAAACAAAGCTTTTCACTGTATTTTGGTACACGTAACAATAAATCAATCAACCAGTAACAATCAATCAATGCCACGTAAATCTTGAAATAGTGAAGTTCCTTGCTACAGTAAATAGCTCCAAGGTTGTTGAGTGCTGGAATTTTGGGCAGATGATTTTTGTAATGAGTTGGAAAATGAATGTAGTAATGACAAGTATCAGGGTAATCTGTAAATCATTAATAAAGTTGGTGAAGCCAGACAAAATGGAGTTAATATTTCAGGTTACATGACCTTTTGTTCAGGATTTTCTTTCCTATTGACTTCATACATGTTCACTTACTGATTTAATACCCTGTGAAAAGCTGCCTTGCTCCAAAGAGGCTTTGTAACGTAATATAATACACTGCCTATTAAGCATTTCAGTGCTTGGGATGGCCAGTGGTCTTTAGTGTTTTCTTTCCCCTTGCTTTTTCTGTCGTTTTTTATCTCTCCTCACCATTCCCCATCCAAAAGTATTGGCTCTTAATCGATGTATACACTCTCCCATACCTTACCCTAGTGTCAGCTCACAATTGAATGGTCACCATGAGTTGTCCAGCTTCACATCCAAAGCCCATTGTGCTCTCAGGATCTCTGCACAAGTAGGCACTTGCTAAAACAATCTGTTATGATCTTTAACTAATTTGACCTAAGTTCATTTGTGATTCTGCTTAAGATCAGAACAGATTGGCCACAGACTCTGAGATCTTCCTGATCTGTGACTCTATTACTCACAGCGTTGAACAGCTCAGCCACTTTATATCATTTATTTTGACCTGGAAGACAAACTTTTCATATGTTTGTAAATTTTTATTCTACCCACATCCTAATACTACCTTTTTACAGCTCCAATGGTTTCTTCAATTTTATTCATACAACTATAATGTCAGTTTGAATAATCGGTAACTCACTAACCTCTGAGTCAAGTGTTTCTGGATTTATGGTCCACTCCAGAAATACAGCACATGATCCAGGCTTATACTTCACAGCAGTACTGAGGGAATATTCTTGAGAGGTAATAATAGGTTTATCAACACCTGCAAACAGAAACATTAAACTGTGGCTCCAGTCACCTGGCATATGAACATGAAAATTCCATGGCACTATTTGAAATATGACAGAGGTCTTCTGGTTTCCTGGCTGAAATTTATTTCCTTGCTGTTTGTGGAAACCTGCTGTGCACAATTTAGTTGCTGCACTTTGTATTAAAGCTGCTGTTACTTAATAGCATTGTTTGTAAGTGCTTTGACACATCCTGAGGTCTTGAAAGGTGTCATATAAATGCAAGTTTTAAGTATTTTGTTTATTGAGCCCAGTTTATTGAAATATTCTGTTGCTGCAGCCACACATCCCAGACTGTTTTCTTCTTCTGTACAGAAAAATGTAGTGAAACATAATCTTATTCCAAATATCCCCTATCGCCCAAAGATAAACTGTTAACAGGATCATCATAGATTAAAGACTTTAATCCAGGTTACATTGACATTGGGTTTTCCCTTTTATGCTTAAACTGTGATTTTGTTTTTCCCAGTCTACCATTTAACAGAATAATGAAACTGACCATAATGTTGGCTAATTCCAATGCCTTTTGCCAAACTGTTTTAGTTTCACTAAAGAAATGCTGAGGTGAAGCCTTTTCCAAGTGTGAATGTACATTTAGTTTTTCATTCCCATTTTACCCCTGTCCGAGGTGATTATTCAGATGGATTCTTCTGTGATTGATCTTAAGCAACATAGTTCCTCTCTTGTTTTCAAACAATAATTACGTAAACCACTTTAAAAGTGAAACAATTTCATTTTCACCCAATTCATTTATAGTTGAGTCTGTATTTCCCGACTCTCAAGCAAAAGTGAGAACTGGATCGATCTCAAATCGCAATTGTAATTTAGTGTTAGTCTTAATCATCTTGTTTTATAATTTGTCTTTTCATTATTTGATAAGGAGTCTTGTATCCTTGTGTTATTGCAAAGTTCTGCTGAGTCAGGAGTCCTTCATGTAATCTACCTTAGACTTATTATAAAGTGTTAAATCCTGTTAGTTGCCAGGATACAGATCTTTTAAGAAGATAGTAAGATCTAACATTGTTTCTAGCAGATCTACTTGACCATTTGAAGAATCTGACATATGTGTATCTGGGATTTGTTTGTGAATGCCTATAGGCACACATTTTAAAACATACATCGTAAAGCATTATCTGCACTTGAAGCACATATTCTAGAGAGAAATCAGTTTACATTATAAATGTCATATACATTTCAGCATTTTGCTTATAGATGTAGGCTACTGCCGAGTGTTGATCCAGAATGCGTCTATGTTCTGGGGTAACCTAGATTATATGATCTTTTTCAACTCTATGTACAATCCATCCTTCCCTTGTTGGAGATTTGTACCTCTCTTTGAGCCAATTGCAGTTTGTGGTTGAACTTAATGACCTTAGATAACTATGGACCATCCAGAAGAGACTATGCTTGAGGAGAAACAGAAAACAAGCTGGCAAATAAAAGCGTAGATATGGAGAAAATAGATGCAGGAGTAGGCCATTTGGCCCTTTGAGCTAGCACCACCATTCAATATGATCATGGCTGATCATGCAATCTCAATATCCCATTCCTGCCCGCTGCCCATACCCCTTGATCCCTTTAGCCACAAGGGTCACATCCAGCTCCCTCTTGAATATGTCTTAACAAACTGGCCCCAATAGCTTCCTGTGGGAGAGAATTCCGCAGGTTCACAACTCTGAGTGAAGAAATTCCTCCTCATCTCAATCCTGAATGGCTTACCCCTTATTCTTAGACTGTGACCCCTTGTTCTGAACTTCCCCAATATTGAGAACATCAAGCCTGTGCAGTCCTATCAGGATTTTATATGTTACATGCAGTGTAACAAAACAAATCTCATTGCCATTTAGAATTATTGCCTTTCTTAAATGGCATTTATACAGCAATAGGGGTAACTTGCTTAACCCATCATGCATGAATTTGGGACAATGCTGAGACTTGGATCAACCATCACAACCATGTAAGGTCTTGGCCTGGCCCATGGTCCATATGCGCATGAATGGGGCCATTGGTTAGGAACGAGAAAGTGGGTTGTGGCTTATTTCTCCTTTCTCTGATCCAGGAATATAGAGGCCAGTTGTAGCAGGCAATGAGAAATTTGGTTTATTAAGATCCCTTGATAACATAGGATACTATCATGCATCATGCTGTGTGTGTGCACATGTGTGTGCATGTGCACTTCATGTGGCACAACCTGGCTTGGGTAGACAGTGGCTGATGCAATGTAATGTGGACAAATGGAAACAATGCATTTTGGGAGGAATGTATATCTGAATTTACAGATGTTGGAAAGGTGTTAATGTACAGAGACCTAGGGTTCAAAATAAATAGCAGATAGATACAGCCATTTAAAAAGGCTGACTACATTTAGGTTATACAAATAAGGGCACACAAGACAAAAGTGTAAAAACAATGATAATTTTGTAAGAAATGTGGATAAAGGCAGTTAGAGTATTGGACCCCTAATTAAGGAATGAATATTAATTTGGTATTTAGTGATGTAAATGATTAGGAACTGTGGTTACGGGTATAGTTATGACGGATTGTTCCCACAGCAGCAGAGAAGGCTGTGAGAACACTTTTTTTTTGGGAGGCACGTTATAGGGATAATGTCACTGGACTAATAGTCCAGAGCTCTGGGCTAATGTTCTGAGGGCATGGATTCAACTCCCACCATGGCAAATGGTATTATTTGAATTCAATGTAAAGCTGGTGACCACGTTGCTACTGTTGATTGTTATTAAAACAAAATCCAGCTGGTTCACTAATGCCCTTTAAGGAAGGAAATCTGTCATCCTTACCTGATCTGCCCTGCATGTGACTCCAGACCTGCAGCAATGTGGTTGGCTCTTAGCTGTCCTGTGGGCAATTTTGATAATAATAGCCAGTGACATTCATATCCCGTGAATAATAATAAAATAAAGTAGCTTGTTCTAAAATTGTGAAGGTCATACATCGTTTCCACTTCAAGGGAGTTGTGATGTTGACTTTACATCCCATTTATAATTGTCAGTAAAAGAGCAAAAAGAGGTTATGAAGAATTTCTTCCACCAAAACCGGTTTTAGAACATGAAGTGTTCTACCATTGGAATGCATATGGCAGAGATTCTTGCCTCTTCTGAAAGAGAATCTCATAAAAACGTTTGAAACAGGAGAATGAACAGGACATTGGGATTAGTTTAGTTGATAGAGGGTTAGCAAAAGAAGTGGGGAGAGTGGAATTAATATTGGAATGGTGTGACCTAACAAAGGCTGACCCAAATATCATTGGCCCATGGGCTGTTTGTGCTGCATTTCTGTATGGTTCTATTGGTTGTAGTCTGAAGATGTTTGATCATTTTATTGCCTTAGATTTTGTGAGCTTGTTACATTTGTGAGAGTCAAACATTGGAAGCCCCCACCCAGCCTTTCCTTTGTTCTCCAAAACCAAAGCGCACACATAACCAGGATTGGAGTTGGGTAGATGGTAGATTCTATTCTCCTCATTTTTCTCCGAAGGCTCTGAGGCAAGGTGTCGTAAATTCAGGATCTCGTTCAACCATGAAGAATCCAATCACAATCCAGGAATAGGAAGAAAGATTGATAATTAAATAAGGTTCTGAAACCCTGCTAGATGGAAGGAAGGTGAAAGTTGGGAAAAGTCAGTAGGAATAGTTACAACAATGCAGTCTTTCCTTGAACTACTTGTTTCAAAAGGCCTATAATATTTAAAAAAAAATCACATACTGAATTTGAAGGACTTGACAAAATATTTTTCAAGGATAGAGCAAGGAAGTCATTATTCTTTAAACTGAGTTTCATAAGTAATTTTCACATTTAGATCTGAACTCAAAAAGATTTGAATCAGATGAGCTACACACAGTTCCGCAGGGCTTTCATCTTATGAGCTGTCTCTTGCTGGGTTTTCAGAGGTGCTGCCACTTGTTCAGTTCTATTTGGAAGAAGGGATCACAGATGAAGAAGCAGTGGCCCTGATTGATCGAGAAGTGCCCAGCACAGAACTGAAAAAGGACGGCTGGCAGGAAAAGAATATTGGAGGTACGCATTTTATAGTGTTACTTACAAAGTGAAGAGGGTGGCACATTGAAACTCTAACGTATACCATAATAGAATGTTGGCCACGCTCCAGATTACACTGCAATGGGACAATACCAAGATCAGGCTGAAAAATGGGAGGGAAAGTCAGCTCTGTGCATCATTTGTCCATCTGATTGAAACTACTTCAGTCAGAGCTGGGATTAAGTTGCTGATAGGTATGTGTTGCCCAGAGCAGGAGGATCGGGGAGCATATAGTGGAAGAAGAACAGAAATATAGTTATGCTATTGACTTAATATCTGTACTTTTGGTGTATTAAAAATCTGTTGCTACTAGGGAAAGTTAGCATTTGCCAATGTGTGTTGTGCCTACTGCTGGTGCAAATCTAACTCCCTGTGCTACCTAGGTTTGTGGCGCTAATTATAACACAGTCTGTTGATGCTATTGGGCTCATTGGCACTTTTAATTGTGTTAAAAGATATTGTGATCACTCTGCCATTGGAAATTTTCAAGGCACAGTAGCAGATGCCAGGAAAGTTCACCACTTTGTTGCTGTTGTCAAGAAACATGGACTGGCTTATCCAAAGCTCACCTTGCAACAGGTAGATTACATTGGCAGCAAGGCTCACAACTGCAACAGAAATCCTTCTGCAGATGTAAACTCCAACCTATTGCCCCTCACGTCCAGTGAATTCTTTTTGGGTGTGGGTAATTAAAGGCCATCTCATAAGCAGCAATGAAGGGCATTAGAGATAACAAGATGTAGAGCTGGATGAACACAACAGGCCAAGCAGCATCAGAGGAGCAGGAAGGCTGACGTTTCGGGCCTAGAACCTTCTTCAGAAATCACTTCTGAAGAAGGGTCTAGGCCTGAAACGTCAGCCTTCCTGCTCCTCTGATGCTGCTTGGCCTGCTGTTTCATCCAGCTCTACACCTTGTTATCTCAGATTCTCCAGCATCTGCAGTTCCTACTATCCATGAAAGGCATTAGCTCAGTTGGAGCTCTCTCATGTCTAGACCAGAAAATTGCCAGTTCAAGCTGTACCCCAGAGAATTAAGTACATAATGCAGGTTGACTGACTTAGCGCAGCACTAAATACTAAGTGAATGCTGCACTGTTGAGGGGCCAACTTTTGGATGAAATGTTAAACCAGATCCAGGTGCTGCAATTGGTGCTCAGTTTATTTATTCAGTCATGGGATGGGGACATCGCCGGATGGACAGCATTTATTACCCTTAAGAAGGTGGGTTCTCAAACCACTGCAGTCGATGTGCTGTAGGTTGACCCACTGTGCCATTAGGGAGGGAATTTCAGGATTTAGACCCAGTGACTGTGAAGGAATGGAGACATATTCCCATGTCAGGATGATGAGTGGCTTGGAGAGGAACTTGCATGTGGTGGTGTTCCCATGTATCTGCTACCCTTGTCCTTCTAGATGTAGTCATAGGTTTGAAAGGTGCTGCCTAAGGATCTTTGGTGATATCTTGCAGATGTGTCTTGTAGATATTTCACACTGCTGTTATTGAGCATTTGTGGTGGAGAGAGTGGATGCTTGTGGAAAGCTGCTGAACTAAATCGCTTATGATTATAAACTTGTTTTATTTTCCAATAAACTTTGAAATATTTCTTTACCACCTTTGTAGATGCACAGACTCTACAGCTTGATGACAGTGTGACAAAGATTGAGACGGACCCATTCACTGCAAAATTGAGCTTTGAGGTAATTTGATGTTGTTAAATTCACATACAACAATACAACAATTTCCATATGACTTTATAATGGAGGAAGAGGTCAAAATACCTTTGGTGACTGGGAAACTAAAAATAAATCCAGGAGAGGATCTAACTGAATTTATTAGAAGTTTTCTTTTTAAAAAATATGATGAAAGTGATGAGGCAAGTCTCCAAGATCTTTGTGGATTTGCTGCAGGTGTTAAAAGATGTAGTTGAGGTAATTGCAGAGGTGTTGTTCATTATCTTCCAAAGTTCTTTAGATTCAGGAATTATGTGACTGCATTGGAAACTTGCAGTGTTCACTCCACTGTTTATGATGGGTGTGGAAGATCTGTCAATTTCATGTCGGTAGTAGGAAAGAAATGACATCATTAGTGCAATAGAAGGTGAATGGGTACTTGGCTTGGCCTCAAAGCCAAAATAGATCTGTTAACAATAGGTTATGTCTGACTTCCAGAGACCAGTGGCATAGGTTAGGAATTGTCCGTAGATGATACCTGTGTGGATTTGCAAGAGGCAATAGATAAGGTTCTGCAGAAAAGGAGAAATGAAAGACAACAAAATTGGAGCAACTGTGTCACATGGTTTGGAAATGGTTAGAAGGCTGGAAACAGAATGTTGGAATATTCTTTAATTGTCAAATAAGTGAAAAGTGGTGGATCTCAGAAAGCTGTACAATGGCCTTCTCACCATGTCAATAATTTGGATGAGGCAATAGAATTACAACCCAAATCTTCCCATCACAATAACAGTGAACTCTGAGCTGAGGAGCTGATTTACACTGGAACTCTTGCTTCAACACAAATGGGAGATTGTGTGGATAGTCATCCTGCACTTACACTGTTTTACACTAATTTTTACCCAACATTTGTAAAACCTGTTCAGTGTAGCCCTTTAAATCGGGAGAGTGTCAAAGCTGGCATCAGTGAAATTGATTACTCCCCTCCTTAAACTGCTTGTTCCCTAGACACACCCCAACACTACCCCTCCCCAGTAAGCCCTCACCACCCCCAGGCTCTGATCCTATGAGCCCTAACAGTGCTCACATTCCTTTCATTCATGTTCTGCCCAGGTACCGGTGTACAATGAACAGTGTTAGTAGGAAGGTGCCCAGTGCCGGGGGGTTCAGATTGATGGTGGAGGATTTCAGAGGATTTTTCTGAGAGCACCTTTCATTCTCCTAAAATCCACAGATGTAGTCTCTTCAATCTCTCCTCACAGGACAGTCCCACCATCCCAGGAATCAGATTGGTGAACCTCTGCTATGTTCCCTCAACAGTGTTCCTCCTTCCTTAGACAAAGGAATCTGAACTGCACACCATACTCCAGGGTCAGTCTCACCAAGATTCTATACAATTGAAAAAAAAACTTCCTTGCTTCTGTACTCAAATCTTTTAATGATAAAGGCCAGTGTACCATTTGCCTTCCTGATAGCTTGCAGGTTCAGCAAGCAAACTTTCAATGACTTATCAAAAAGGGCACCCAGGTTCCTTTGGACATCAGCATTTCCCAATACTGTGCACCTTCATTCTGTCCAACGAACTGGATAACCTCTCACTTGTTCACATTATGTTTAATCAGAATTATTCTTGTCCATGTAGCCAGTCTAAATCCCTTTGAAGCCTCTTAGCATCCTCCTCACAACTCATATTCAAACCTGATTTGTGCCTTCCAGAGCAGACACAATGAGCCAAATAGCCTCCTACACTGTAACAATTCAACAGCTGAAGGCCAAGTGTAGATTCTTGCAGTACTGCATCAGTCACAGGCCACCAACCTGAGAATGACCAGTCTGTATTCCCATAGCCTGTTTTATTTCCAGTAGATTACCCACATGCTCTAATTTTGAATGCTGTATTGTCTCTTCCCAGTCAGATCATTATTTTTGAAGTATCCGAGAATCACGTCCTTTATAACAGTTTTTAGTATTTTCCCTACTACGGATGTCAGGCTGACAGGTCTGTAGTCCCGAGTTTATTGTTGATTCCTCCTTTCTTAAATAGTGAGCTTATATTTGCAAACTTCCAATATGCAATCTCCATTTCAGATGACAACTAATCCATCCACTATCTCTACAGACAACTTCTTCAAGTCTCATGTTGTTCGGCAGGTCCAAGGGATTTATCAGCTTTAAGTCGTATTAATTTCTCTAGTCCTACTTTTTTTTTAACTGATGTCAGTTTCTTTTGGTTCCTCATTCTCACTAGACTCTTGGATGTCTCTATTTTGGAGAGATTTCTCATGCTCTCTCCATGAAGATAGGCACTTCTTTGCTGTTTCCAAATTTTCTGCTATAACTCCTTTTGCCTCTGCCTGTATTGGACACAGAATTGTCTTTGGTAACCTTTTTCTTTTTTACCTCACTATAGAAGCTTTTACAGTATATTTTTATGTTACTTAGATTACACACGTTTTATTCATATTCTAACACTGAGGGAGATCATGATCTGAAACTGTTCCCTAGGAGCCTTTGGATGTTCAAAGTTGATTTGAAACTTCTGAAACTGAAACTTGCAGATTGTAATTGGATGACAGCATTAAGGGATGTGGAACGAATATATAAATAGAGTTGAAATAAAGATAATTAAATTAATTGGTGGAAGAGGTTGTAGAGGCTGAATGATCCTTCCTATTTATATTAGACGTATAACCAATGTTCTTTCAAACGGATAGAAAAAAATGATGTAAAGTATTTTTCGACTGAATTTTATCTCCTGAGAATTGTGCCAGGATAGAAATGTCTTATAAAATGCCATCCAGGCTTCACCTGGCGTGTCAGTCTCCTTTGAGCACATTTCATCTCATTTCATGAACTTCTCAGCCTTTCTCAAGGGTCATTGTTGGTGGCATTTTTCTGTGGAAAATTTAAATTTGCAAGTATCTGTTGCTGGGTTCATAAAAATATTGAAAAATCTTTAAGCACAGCATATGTTGAGGGTACAAACCTACATCATGGCAGTTCCTCAGCCCTATCTACCAAATATGCTCCGAGATAGCTCGAATACTCTTGAGTCCTGGGACAACAGCTTGGTGTTACCTAGAGGATGGAATAAAAATGTATGTTTGTGATTATAAGTGAAATCTCTTTGATACCAATATTTCAAAGTTTTCAAAAAGATCAAACCTATTAGCCTTACATTAGCAATAAGCAAAATAATAGAACACATCAGTAGGGACATTGACATGAAAATATGTCTTAAGTGACAGCCAACACTGTTTTAGAAGGCAGTTTGGCTGGATCTGCCATGTCGTTGTGACATTTCTGAAGACACTGCATGCAATTTCAGCATTTGTCAGGTTCCCCACCTCAGTGTGTTATCTTGCAAGTGAAGGAGCTTCCCCACTGAGACTGAAAGGAAATAGATCAGATTCTGCAGCTTTGCTGTCTGGCTTATTGACATGAACCTATTGTGAAGGATGCATTGCAGACTGAATTCTCAGTGGCATATTTCCAAATAATTGTTTGCAATTGAATAAGAACGGGATTATAAGAGCTCTGTGGGGCAGCTTTCATGGTCAGAGAATAAAGTACCATGTATCGGAAAGCAAAGTTCAGTCTTCAATATCATGGCAAATGACAAATTGTAACCTAGCAGCCACAAGTTAAATATACATCTCAAATGTGCTGTCACTTTTATTAAAATTTCAATTTGGAGTTTAGTTTAAATTTTAAAGATAAAACTGCAGTCTTAATTTATGATTGCCTGTGGATTTGATGGTGTTACCAATCCAATAAGGTCCAATTGGTGAGGAATTGTTGCTATTCATTTTCAAACTATTTACCTAATAGTCAGTAGCATTTTTACAGCGCAGAAGGAGGCCATTTGGCCCATCAAGTTGATTTTTGACTTTCTATAGAGCAATCCAATCAGTCTCATTGCGCAATAGTATCATTGCTCTGCTCTATCGCTGTAATTCAGTTTATTGCCCTTTAATACCCATTTCAATTTCCTTTTGAAATCATTCATTGTCTCTATTACCCCCCTCCATTAGGCAGAGGGTTCTGAGTAATTGTGCCCTGCTCTGTAAAATTGGTCTTCCTTGCACCCCCTGCAGCTATGTCCTATTACACTACAACTGTGACTGAGTCCATGTGTCACCATTTTATTGGAACAATTTTCTTTATCTACCTTACTGAAATAGGTCATTACTTTGCACACCTGCATCATCATATCTCCTTACGCTGTTGCCTGGTTTTTAAAATTTACTAATTAGTGGAATGTGGATGTTGCTGGCCAGCCAGCAACAATTGCCTGTCCCTAGTTGTCCTTGTGAAGGTGGTGGTGAGCTGCCTTCTTGAACTGCTGCAGTCCACCTACTCTGGTTGACCCACAATGCCATTAGGGAGACGATTCCAGGATTTTGACTCTGCGACAATGAAGGAACAGCAATATATTTCCAAGTCAGGGTGATGAGTGGCTTGGAGGAGAACTTGAAGGTGGTGGTGTTACCATGTATCTGCTGCCCTTGTCCTTCTAGATGGAGGTGGTCGTTGGTTTGGCAGGTGCTGTCTGAGGACCTTTGGTGAATTTCTGCAATGCATCTTGTAGATAGGGCTTTTCTACAGATTGCAGACTGGGGCAGTCACAGCCTGGAAACCTGGAAAGCGTTACATCTAAGTCTTGCAAAACTAATCTGCAGTCTAGTCCAATGATGACAAATGTATTAGTCTTTTGTTCCCTTTTTTTGCAGCAAGGAGGCTCAGATTTTGTTCCTGTGGTTGTGAATAGAGAGGTTCTGCAATCAATGAGTAGGAGGGATGTTCTGATTAAACGCTGGCCAAAGCCATTAAGGTGGCACTACTTTCGATCACTGTTACCCGATGTCTCCATTACAATGTGCCCTACATGTTTCCAGGTGAGAATGTTGTTATACACTCCTTTAAAATCTTATTCCCTACTGCCTGCGTCCTCAACTCCTAAACAAGTTTCTTTGAGAGATTCCCTCTCTCCTCTGCTATTCTCTGCCTTGAGTGACTCTTCATTCAGTTAGTTCAATGATTCTCCGCTTCCCTTGACACTTCTCCTAAGAATTCAACCCCGTCCTGTCCTGCCTGTGCATCAGCTTTTATGTTCATACCCTCGTCCATTGAGTTTCTCACCTCTTTTGCTGTATCTCCTTCCATGTTTCCAATACCTCACTTACAGGAAAACACCTGCTTACAACCCTCACATCCAAAACCCCTTGCATCCTTCTGCATCAGCTCGAAGAAATACAAGCTGTTCCCCAAGTCACCTACAACTAAATTTACAAACTTGAGCCTCATAAGCCCTGATTTTAATGACACCCACCCGACAGGAACAGGACAGTTCTGATCTAATGCAAGATTTGCACTAGACCTGATTTTCTGTCTTGTCAGCCTCCTTGGCCTCATGTTCAATGTTTCCAGTCCAGTGTAAGCAAACCTCAATGAATCTGATCCTGCCGGACCACAGCAAATCATTTAGGAATTCACTTTAGTCTGCTGTAAGTGTATATTACTTCATAATCATTTAGAATAAACCGTTAACTTATTTTCTCCACCATCAACTGTCTCTTCACCCTTGTACTTTATGCCTTGACTTATGTAACCCAAAATATTGACCAGTTCTTGTACTTTCAGGGAATTAGGTGCCTGAATCCCTCTGTCTCTCACACCCTTCTTTATATTCCTGATAGCTACTTTCATGTTTGCCCACTCATGTATCTTGCATTTATCCTGACTCATGCCTGACAAAGCCAGCTTTGCCTAGTGCTGTGTTACCACAGTTTTCCTTCACCGACAGATGTTTCACAGTGAAGACTATGAGCTGCTTGTTCTCCAGCACAACTGCTGTCCATACTGTCGCCGGCCAATAGATGAACCCAGTGTCTGATCACCACAGCGTGATGAAAGACTAGAAAGGAAAATGCCATTCCTGGGATAGAGGAATCTCAACCTGAAGAACTTTACAGCTGCTATTAATGTTAATGGCATCATCTGTTGTACCTTGATCTGCTTCACACTGACCTTCCAGACCAGGTTGGTTGTATTGTGGAGGCAGAGAGACCAACTCTATCATTTAGAATACTGAACGTAGAAGTATCTCAAAGATTCACTCCCTTAACATGCAGTGTTAGCATTCAGTTATTGATTGAACAGAAAATGAAACGATTGAGGACTGTATGTGATGTGAGAACTGTGTATGTTAACTAAAATAACCTCATGGGTGACACCTTTATGATGTGACCAGTTCTTTAAATACAATCCCTCTGTGGTATATGGTGTATGAGTAGTGCTGGTTCATTCACTACCAGCAATAGGTTGATTAGACTTAGTATTAACAGTTTGCTCCCATTCCCAATTCCAGCTGCCTCCCCTGAGTATATGGTTTTCCAGGAGATATATTGGAAGATCTTGTTGAACTATAACTGCATACATTAGCTGCAGCAGAGTGTGCGATTGGTACCTATTTTCAAGCTAACTAAATGAATATGCACCACTGATACGGAGCTTTGACTGTTGGGACCAATATTCCTCCCACTGATTTGAAGTATATTACAGAACCAGAATAGATTTACAGCAGTCTCCCACCTCCCACAGCATGTATTTCCTTTCTGTTTGCTAATTTAAAAAACATGCCAAAATCAGCTGAAGTAATCTACAGTGCACAAGTGGTGTTTGTCTAGTTTGTTCCTTTCTCCTCCTCCCTGCTCCTAAAAGATTAAGTGCTGTGCTTCAAACAAGGGATGATACCAAATTGTAAGAGCTGCAAGTATTTCTTCCTCTCTGAATGAGGGGAAGCCAGACAAGATGGGGGAGAGAATGAAATATCTGCTTACCATGATGTGGTTGAGGAAGGATGGGAGGACGCCGGAGTGGAGAACATAAAGACCAGCATGAATGGTCTGTTTCTGTGTCATTTTATCCAAGGCAAGCCTATATCAAAATCTATGAAATAGTTGCTTTGGGTTTGTATGATTACCTCCATGCTACCTTGGTCCAATTTAAATCCAGTTACCTCAAAGTAAAATTACTACATTCCATGTGAACCAAAATGCGATCACACCCACCCAATTTAAAACCTGCCTGCTATATATAAGAAGAATTACCGAACTATTTTCAAAAAATGAGCTCACAAACAAAACCCTATCTTTACACCAATTGAGAAGCCTCTTGACAGAAATATGTGTAGAGTGAAGATGGAATTTGTATTCTCGGTAAATTTAATTGGCATGTTTGGAGCTTGTTTATTAAAAGATGTCTGGAATGGTTTGGTTTGCCATTTCACATAAATATACATATAAAATAGCACAACACAAGAACAGGCCCTAACATAATCTTCTCATTTATGGGCAGTGCTTGATGGTTTTACAGTCTGTGTTGAGGGCAGCTTTGTGATGATATCGTAGTTGTACCTAACCATTACAGGAGTCCATCTGGCAGATGATATTCTGTAGTGTTTCTGAGGTTTGGGTCAGATCCAGTTCAGACTGTTGAGGTAACAGTCTCTTCTCAGTGCATGAAATGAGCTTTGGACAATCACAACGTACTTCCCAGAGAATGCAAGTTTACAGCAACCTCTACTGTTTAATTATGGGTCAATTTTTTGTTTGCATACTTCTCACACAGAGTATCATCTACTGGGATAGCACAGCAAGAGGTCAAACAACATAAACACAAAACTCACAGAACTCACCCTGATACTTCCTGCTGACCTGAACTTTGCACTAAGAATACTACCAAGTGAAATCTTATTTTTAATTGGTCAGTCCGATTCTGATTGGATTTTGGTGAACATTAAAGGTCTCCAGATTGATGCAGTGGGAGATTTGGCATAGGACATACTGACTGAATAGTGTATAAGGAACTTGATTCAGGGATTGTCGTTTTCCAGACTGTCGTGGGAGTGTTTGATAGGGACATTGTAGAGAGAACTTTACTCTGTACCTAGCCCCATGCTGTCCCTATCCTGGGAGTGTTTGGGATGTGGACAGTGTCGGGGAGGTTTACTTTAAGTTTAAAAGTGTAGAAGGACCTTTACTCAGAATCTAACCCTGTGCTGTAGAGTGTTTAATGGAGGCAGTGTTTCTTTAGTTTCAGTTTCAAAAGAGTAGAGCAAGTTTTGCTCTATATCTAACCCCACTCTGCAGCTGTCCTGAGTGTTTGATGGAGGACAGTGTCGATAATGCATCTAAAATGTTTTATCCCTAATCTATGGAGTGGTGGTTTTGTTACAGACTGCAATTATTTTTCAACAGCAACACCACCTGACCTCGTTTACTTAAGTGTTTGCCTCTGGCCCTTCCCCTTACTAAAGTGTTGAGCATTACATCCACAATATTAAGAAGGATTATGAGAATTATTTTTTTGACCTTGTATGCAAGGAGACCTAGAAGTTGAGAGGATGTCAGCCCAGTAATATAGTAATGATCTCCGTTTGCTTTATAAGATGACAGTCAGGTTTTGCTTGGACCCACTTGAAGAAGATTGCTTTTGGCATAAGTATGTGCAAGTGTAAATACGTGACGCTAAAAGTTTAAGTTTTATTGTTGCTCTTGTGATTTCCTTTTACCAGAGTTGGTTGATTTAAACTAGAATCGAAAATTAGCATCTGCAGACTTCACCTTGATACATTGTCCAGAAATGTTTTGTATTCTCCACAGTGATAAAGCTCTGTGTGTAGTCGCTTAAAACTTCACCATGTTTGTTCCCTAAAACACATAATGTGTTCCAATGTACTCAGCCAAGCAGGACTGTTCAGGTAAAGCCTGTAGTTTGGCTCTTAGATCTTTTGTCTAAAGTTTAAAAGTAGTGCCCAAAAATCTGAGGGAAGGAGAACAGCACTAGAGAAGAAATTGTCTTTGGGTGTGAAACAGCAACTATCTGGGTGATCTCATAGCAAGCTGTGAGCCAAGTAGAGTGAGAATGCTAGCAAGACAGTTACAGGGTGCAGTAAGCTATCAAGCATGCACTGGGCCTACAAACCAGAGGGACACTGCTGAGGTGCAACTGTGTAATGGCACTGGCTCTCCCTGGAGGTATGTAGTTCAAAGAGCATTCATTTCATTGCCCAATAAACTGATTTAAGTCTCAACTTCTGAACGTAAATGGCATCATGTGAAAGGTACTGGGGCAATATAATTCTTTGATGGAAGGAGTTTGTTGGAATGTTACCAGAAATGAACTCCCTTTTCCTGTGTTTATTGTTACAAAATTAGAAAATGTCACTGAACTATTTAAGTTCACTATGAATAGATACCAAAAGCCTACTCCCTGTTTTTTGTGTCTTTGAATTCATGTGTGCATTACTAAAAATGTTTTTACCATATGGTTTCCTTGGAAATATTTCTGTGTGTGGGAAGTTCAAATACAATCATTTTTATTCATAATTGTATCAACTCAGTGTGTTTGTCAGCCGTGGAAACATGCTTATGATCAATTTCATCGAAATCAAAGCCCATGCTTTTCCTGACCTAAAGGTAGCCTTGTTGTATTTCTGGTCCTGGATCAGTTCACCTGTGGAAATGGATTTACTGAACTCGTTTGCAATTAATTGGCCAGGTCTTGACAAGCAATGAGGGCACTGCTTGTATAGCACGGGTTTTAATGCTGAGGATACCTGATAGCACTGGCACAGACCCCTCTGTCTTTGAAATCCCAAGCTGCTTGTCCACCTGTACAACACTAGGACGTGGCAGCTGGTCTAATGCCTAACATTCAACCAGCGAAATGAAAAAAGCATTATGCCCTCTCTCTCAACTGAGTGTCTGCCCTTCTGGTCCTCCATAAATCCTACCATCTATGCAAAACTCTCCAGCCCATAAGCATGGCCACCCCCTTATGATCTCCTCCTGATTGTTGTTATTGGACAAGTCAGATGCCAGACTGGCTTGATAGATCATAATTGTTTTGTTTTCGTTTTAACAAAGTGGGCTCTCACTAAGATAGAAACATCAATGTTGCAGATTTTGTTTCAAGAATAAAACAGTTTATTAAGAACTTGGGGTCATAGATTTAAAATTAAGGAATTGCCCACTGGAGGCAGATCAAGATTTTTTTTTCATTTAACCTTCAGAGAGTTGAGTATCTTTGGAAAGAAAAGAGAAAATAGAATAAACTTAAGTGCAAACAGTTCTAAACACACAGTAAAAGTTTAATCCCATTAATTTCAAAACACACTTTTGCAAGTGTGAAAAAAAGCCTTATACAGTACTCCCACTAGAATCCTCTTCTCTAACACCTTAATTAGTTTGAAGTAAGTGTGACTGTAATCCCTAGACTGGAGACACTGATAGTTTATTCGTGGAGCTATTGTACACCTAAGTTTAAACAAACTCAGCTTCCGGTCCTGTTCAGAGTTTTATCCCAATTCCTTCCGGGACTCCATGGTCTAAGGTGATCTAAGATAGTTTATTGTATGCTTCCCTTCTCAGGACCACATGCTTGGATTTCGCAGAATTGCCTAAACCAAAGTAAAACAAATAAAAGTTTATCTCTCTACTATGGGTGTTCCCCTTTAGCTTAATAAAAAGACCTCCCAGTTCAGAAAGTTCTCTCAGGATTCCTCAGGTACAATTATCAACTTTGCTAAGTCATAAACAGCAACTTATTAGGCTGCCAAAGAAGCTTTCTCAAACGGTCATAAATCGCCATAGCTGTAGAACTACTTTCAAGTTAATTATTACCTCAAGGTAAACAGAGAGCCCATGTCACCAACACAAAATGAATGATATCAAGCATTTTTGTATAAATCAGGTAATTAATATCACCTCTTTTTGATCTTATTCTCTTATATGGTCGTGATAGCTTCATCATTTTGAGGCCATCTCTGACCAGTTCCTTATCTCGGTTTCCAATGGCATCTGCCTGCTTCCATGTCCCGACCAATGTTTGTTTTAATTTTATTTTGTTGCTGTGCTAACTTCTGAGGTGCACGCATGGCAGCCACACCTGAAAGCAGGAGTCATCCATCAAAACTTCGATCAGTGTGCACAGAGCTTCCCAGCATTGGTCCTAACTCTACCTCTTGTATCTGTCCCTGGGGTGGTGGGGGGTGGGGGGGATCTGGTGGGGAGTCCTTCAAATCACTTAAAGTCTCAACTGTCCAGCACTTGGCCCTACTTTCATCACAACAGTCCCACCATTTACTGATCTGCTCAACTGTAGCTTCATATGTACTTTTGATGCCCTAGTTCCCGACAAACCATGATTCTGTCTAACTCTGGTTATCCAACAATATTGGCTTTCATCTCCAATTTCTCAAGTCCATGGAATGCAGGCTTAGAAGATTATGGCAACATCCAGGAATGACTCAACCTCTAACAGTTCTCTACAGTAAAGAAATCCAGAGATTTACTAGCCTTTGAGAGGAAAACTTCCTCCACATCTCTGACCAAACTGGGTGACTCTTTACTTTTGAGTTTGGTCTCAGGCCCTCTAACAAGTGGGCACAACGTTTCCACAACAACCCTGTCAAGTCTACTAAGAATCTTATCTGTTTCAGCAAAATCTTTTCTCATTCTTCTAAATTCCAATGAGTATAGGCTGAACCTACTCAATCACTCCTCATAGGAAAATCCCTCACTTTTTAATGTCTGTGCTGCCTTTAGCTCTTTCCAAAACCAAAGTGTTATTTTCACGTGCTATAAAGGCACCTGACTCTGCCTCAACACCACCTCTGTCAAAAAACTTCACTGCAGCTACATTGTCAGACAGTGGATATAACATCCAGTGCTGGCTGTGCAGAAATTATCTCCACTTAGATATTGGAAAGGCATAGAACATAAGAACAAGGAGGTTATGTTGGAACTACATTTAAAAAAAATTATTTGGACAAAACCGGTGAGCAGTTCTGGTCTCCTCATTACAGTGAGGATGTAATTGCACTAGACAGGGTAGAGGGGTGATTTATCAGAATGTTGCCAGAACTTGAGAAATTGCAGCGATGAGCAAAGATTGGATAGGCTGGAGTTAGTTTCCTTTGAACAGAGGAAGTTGACATGATTAGGATGTACAAAGTTGAGAGGAGCTTGGATAGAGGGAATGGGAAGGAAGGATCTTTCTTAGCAGAGGGGTCAGTTAATAGGAGACATAGAGTTAAAGCGATTAGTCAAAGGATTAAAGTGGAGAAGAGGATTTGTTTTCTCCAGTTGATGCCTGGCATTTGGAGCTCAGTGCCTGAAAGGGGATTGTAGGCAGAAACCTTGACTCATTTAAAAGCAGTCTGGATCTGCACCAGAAGTCCCATGACCTCCAGGAATTAGGACCATGTGCTAGAGAATGGGGTTGTGCTGTATGGCTCATTTATCATTTAGCACAGACATGATGGGCAGACTGGCTTCTTTCTGTACCATTCGTTTTTCTACATTTTGAAGTGTTCTCCCTGAAGAAGCAACAAATACAGGGATGATGGGAGAGAGGGCAGCGAAGGGACAGCACAGACATGTTAGGTCAAATGTTCTTGTGACTGAAACCTTCGTGAGTTTCTGCAGTGCATCTTGTAGATAGTACACACTGCTATTACTGAGTGTTGGTGGTGAAGGGAGTGAATATTTGTGGGTGTGGTGCCAATTAAGTGGGCTGCTTTGTCCTGGATGAGTGTTGTTGGAGCTGCACTCATCCGAGCAAATAGAGAGTATTCCATCAAACTCCCAAAATTGCGTCTTCTGGATGGTAGACAAGCTTTAGGGAGAGAGGAGGTGAGCTGCTTGCTGCAGGATTCCTAGCCTCTGACCTGCTCTGTATTTATATAAACGTATACCCTTACAGCACAAGAACAGGCCCTTTGGCCCACCATGTCTGTCCTGGCCATGAACCCATTCTAAACTAATCCCATCTGCCTGCATGTGGTCCATATCCCTCTATTCCCTGACTAAATGGCTGTTATATATTGCTAACATATCTGCTTCTACCATCTCCCCTGACAGAGCTTTCCAGGCATCTACCACCCTTTGTGTGAAAAACTTCTCTCATACATCTCCTTTAAACCTTTTCCTCTCTCACCTTAAATCTATATCCCCTAATATTTGGCATTTCAACGCTGGGAAACAGACTATCCACCCTATCCATGCCCCTCATAATTTTATATCCTTCTATTAGGTTGCCCCGTAGCCTCTGACACTCCAATGAAAACAATACAAGTTTGTCCAACCTCTTCTTACAGTTAATACACCAAAACCAGGCAACATCCTGGTAAACCACTTTTGCACTCTCTCCAGAGCCTTCATATCCTTCCTGTAGTGTGGTGACCAGAACTACACACAATACTCCAAATGTGGCCTAACTAAAGTTTTATACAACTGCACCATGACTTGCCAACTTTTATACTCAGAGCCCTGACCGATGAAGGCAAGCATGCCATATGCCTTCTTTACCACCTTATCCACAGGTGTTGCCATTTTCAGGGAGCTATGGACTGACGTGGCCATTCCAGTTCAGTTTTTGGTTAATGATAACCTCCAAAACGTTGATACTGGGGGATCCCACATTCTACCCTCTGTGAATTTTATTCCATAAAAATCATCTCCCATCCTGTTACATTATCACCCCTTGTGCTCACTGACCTACATCAGCTCCCAGTCAAGCAACATCATGATTTTAAAATTCTAATCCTTGTTTTCAAATGCCTGAAAGGCCTCATTAACATGTTCTTGCTAACATTGTTTCAAATGACTGTGTTTAATAGCTCTCCCTAAGAGCATCTCAAGATGTTTTACTACCTTTAAATGAGACAGATAAATGAATAACTGTCATTGAGAATTCCCTTTGCCCCCACCCCCCTCTGCTTAAGAGCTAAACATAATTCATCCAGATAAAGCATTTAAAGAAGGAAAACTGTCGTTTTCAACAATCTGGACTATATGTGATTTCTTGATGCCACTCCAGGTCAAATTGACTTTGATGTCAAGGGCAGTCACTCTCACTTCACTTCACCTCTCTTATTCAGCACCTTTGTCCAGGTTTGAAACCAAGGCTCTAATGAGGTGAGGGGGAGAGGCAGGAGTTTCAGGGTCAATTAGATCTGGGGCTGTGAGAGCAGTGCTGTGATGGGCTGTAAATGTTCAGGACTAGCACTGTTGGATTCATGCATTAGAAGGTGGTCTTTTGAGGAGAGGCCATCAGCAATTTGATGGGGACAAGAATAGAAAAAGCAGAAATAAGTTCGATATTAAGGTTCCTGAGTTCGCACTAGCCCTTAGTTCTCCAAACTTTGACCTTTATAGGGATGGCAGGACTGATGTGTGAAGAGAGTTGGGAGTTCACTGGAGTTTAAGTAAATGGCAGTAATAGAAATCTATCACGTTCTAATAGGACTATACAGGATAAATGCAGGAAGGGCGTTCCTGATGACAGGGGTGTCCAGAACCAGGGGGTCACAGTCTAAGGATAC